CCGGCCAGGTCACTCCTAACTCCCCCCCCCCCCCCGCCGGGCTGGTCTCCCCTCACTGGGTCCCCTGGCAGCCTACTCACCCCCAACTGCCCCCTTTGTGGGCTGGGTGCCCCCAAATGCCCCCCCGCTGGGCTTTTTTGCCCCAAATTCCCCCCCCGCCGGGCTGGGGGGCCCCCACTGGGTCCCCCGGGGGGCCAATTACCCCCAAATTCCCCCCCCGGGGGGCTGGTCCCCCCCCACTGCCCCCTGCCAGCCTTTATTGCCCCTAACTGCCCCCCCGCCGGCCCTGGTTGCCCCTCACTGCCCACCCTTGGGGGCTGGGTGGGCCCCAACTGCCCCCTCCTGCTGGGCCTGGTCACCCCCCAACTGCCCCCCCTCTGCCATCCTGATTGCCCCTCACTGCCCCCCCCCCCCCCGCCGGCCTGGTCACCCCACGCAGCCTGTTTGGTCATCTGTTCAGTTGTTTTGGATGTGACGGCCCCTGGCTCTTTATATATATAGATAAAAAGTAAAATAAAACAAAATTGGTACACCCACACAATGGAATATCATTCAGCAGTTAAAAGAAATATGCAACAACATCTGAAGCACATGAAAACCTGGGGAAATCTCAAATATGTTATGCTGAGTGAATGTCAGCCATTAGAGGCTACATATGATAAAATTTCATTTATATGACAGCCTGGAAAAGGCAAAGGGACAAGAAACAGACCAGTGGTTGGAGGAAAGCAAATTAAGTAAATTTATTGTCTAAATAATAGGTGGCCATCAAAGGATACCATTTAAAACTAACAGCAAAAGTTAAGTAAGAAGATTCAAGATGACAGCAGAGTAGGTGGAATTTACACTCACCTCCTCCAAGGACAGAACTGGAATTGCAACTAAATATAGAACAACCTGAATAGTCAAGTAAAGACTAGCTGAACAGAAGTCTTATAACCAAGGATTAATAGAAGAAGCCACATCAAAAATGGTAAGAAGGGCAGAGCCACGAAAAAGGCCAGCCTGCACCCACAGGTGGCAGTTGAGGTTCTGGAGGGATATCTCAATTGCAGGGGGTTCCCCATGAGAAGCATGGGGTCTCAAGCCCTCACCTAGCTCCCTGGCCCAGAGCACCAGAACTGGGAAGAAGAGCCCACATAAAATCTAGCTGTGAAAACCAGCAGGGATTCTGCCCTGTATGGAGAGGTAGGGGTCCTCTAAGAACCAGACATCCTCTTAGAGCACCAATGCACAAAATCTTATTCACAGCCAGTCACCCTGTATTCCAGCAGAGAGAGGGAAGAGCAGACTAGAGGCCTGTGATGAGAGATGGGTTTATAACTTTGGGAGAGAGCCAAAGGGGCAGCCGCCAGGATCCCTGTGCTGAGTCCCATTCTCAAACTGCAGACGCTATCTTTTTTGGGTGGAGCACTCCCTTCCTTATGGCATCAGCCTGAGGGAATACAAAAGCCCTATCCTCTCAATTCCCTGTTGCCACACCCTGCAGAGCTCATGGAGTCAGCTGACTGGGCCATGGTACAGAGGTCCCAGCAGACTCAGGGGTATCCTTGACTGAGTTATGTGGCTTTGGGGTGGAGTCAATCCCCCACTTTCCTGTGAACTTGATGGGTGCCTTCCCATCAAGGGAGATACATTAGACCAGCCGTGGGCAAACTACAGCCCGTGGGCCGGATCCGGCTCGTTTGAAATGAATAAAACTAAAAAAAAAAAAGACCGTACCCTTTTATGTAATGATGTTTACTTTGAATTTATATTAGTTCACACAAACACTCCATCCATGCTTTTGTTCCGGCCCTCCGGTCCAGTTTAAGAACCCATTGTGGCCCTCGAGTCAAAAAGTTTGCCCACCCCTGCTCTAGGATGAGGTCCATTTTTCTTGCACGGAGCCCTCCCTTCAACTGGCCAAATGCTGGTCTGTTTAGGCTTGAAAAACTCTGCTGGCCTCACCCTACTCACCACTCACTGAGACTCTGCCCCACTACAAAGGTCTGCAGGAACCTGGCAGGTGGTAGCTAGACTTTGTATATCCCGGGACTTTTGCTGATGGTCTCTGACCCAGCACTGGTAAGAGTTTGAACTTGTATCAATCTGGTGAACACCACTTTCCCTACCTGGTGACTCACTGACAACCTACTGCATGCAATTCAAGTACTATAAGAGGCTATTCCAGTGACTGAAGGCAGTCAGCAGGTGGAGGCCGGCAAAGGAAGAACTGCAGATGCCTTGCAACTTTTGCTGACATGTCCCCAGGCTTGGTGCTAGTGGAAGCTGGCTTTGGTGTGCAGCTTGGTCTTCCACACACACCAAGGCCCAGCAGAGGCAGCTACAAACTATGAATAACTTTGTAGCTCCCAACAAGTAGCTCTGAGCCAGTCACAGTGACATTGACCTGCACCAGAGTCTCTCCCAAAATGCCCCAGAACAAACACACCCAGTGGCCAGCTTCAGACAACATCAGAGCAGGATCCAATTAACTGCACAAGTGGCATATCCAAAGGGAGATCTTGGCAGGCACCAGACCCTGCTGAGGCGAATTCTACTTTATGTGGTCAGCACCTGCATAGCACCTCATACTCTGTGATCAGGAACAATCCTCATAGTCAGCCATCCTGGGTGTCAAACTCATTAATGAACAGTCCAATAGCAAGCTCAAGACTCAAACACAACAGGAAGGCTCACAAAACACACACAAGGGACATTACTAGAGCACCCAGCTCAGATGAGGAAAGAGACTGGACCACTGGGTCCCACAGGACACCTACTACATAAGTTCACCCTACCAAGACTGGGAGATATAGATTTACCTAATACATAGAAACAAACACAGGGAGATGGACAAAATAGTGATACAAAGAAACATGCCCCAAGTAAAAAAAACAACAACAAAAAACAAACAAACCAGGAGATATCTCCAGAAAAAGAGCTAAATAAAATGAGGGCAAGCAGTTTGAGTTAAAAAAAAAAATGTTTACAAAGATGCTAAAGGAACTAGTGAGAACTTCAACAAAGAGATAGCAAGCATAAAAATATATACAGAAACCATAAAGAAGAACCAGTCAAAAAGGAAGTACATAGTATCTGAAATGAAGAATATACTAGAACAGTGATGGTGAACCTATGACACGCGTGTCAGAGGTTACACGCGAACTCATTTTTTTGGTTGATTTTTCTTTGTTAAATGGCATTTAAATATATAAAATAAATATCAAAAATATAAATCTTTGTTTTACTATGGATGCAAATATCAAAAAAATTTTTTTTAAAAAAATATATTTTATTGATTTTTTACAGAGAGGAAGGGAGAGGGATAGAGAGTTAGAAACATTGATTAGAGAGAAACATCGACCAGCTGCCTCCTGCACATCTCCTACTGGGGGTGTGCCCGCAACCAACGTACATGCCCTTGACCGGAATCGAACCCGGGACCTTTCAGTCCGCAGGCCGACGCTCTATCCACTGAGCCAAACCGGTTTCGGCTATCAAAAAATTTTTATATGTGACACGGCACCAGAGCTAAGTTAGGGTTTTTCAAAATGCTGACATGCCGAGCTCAAAAGGTTCGTCATCACTGTACTAGAAGGAACAAACAGTAGGTTGGATGAAGTAGACTCTGATTCAGAAATTTAGAAGACAAGGTAGTAAAAAACTCAATTAGAGCAGCAAAGGAAAAAAATTCTAATACGAGGATAGTTTAAGGGACATTTGGGACAACATGAAGCATAACAACATCTGCATCATAGAGGTACCAGAAAGAGAGAGAGAGAGAGAGAGAGAGAGAGAGAGAGAGAGAGAGATGTATTGAGAATCTATTTGAAGAAATAATGGCTGAAAATTTCCCTAACGTGGTGAAGGAAATAACATAAGTCCAGGAAGCACAGAGAGTCCCAAACAAGATGTACCTAAAGAGGCCCATATCAAGACACATCATAGTTAAAATGCAAAGGTTAAAGATAAGGAGAAAATCTGAAAGGCAGCAAGAGAAAAGCAGTTAGCTACATACAAGGAAGCTCCCATAAGACTGTCAGCTGATTTCTCAACAGACACATTTCAGGCCAGAAGGGATTGGCATCAAATATTCAAAATAATGAAAAGCAAAGACCTATACCCAAGACTACTTTACCCAGCAAGGTTATCATTTAAAATTGAAGGAGAAAGAGTTTCAAAGACAAGAAAAAGCAAAAGGAGTTGATTACCAATAAACCAGTATTATAAGAAATGTTAAAGGGTTTTCTTAAAGGTGAAGAAAAAGAAAGAGAATGAGAAGGAAGAAGAAGAAGGAGGAGGCAGAGGAGGAGGAGGAGGAGGAGGAGGAGGAGGAGGAGGAAGAGGAGGAGGAAGAGGAGATTACAGAGAATGAAATGGCAATAAATTTGTAAGTATCAATAAATCACTTTAAATATAAGTGGCTTAAATACTCCAATCAAAATACATAGGGTAGTTGAAAACTACCTTGATATTTACAGAATATTTCATCCCAGAACAGCAGAATATACATTCTTCTCAAGTACACATGAAATATTCTCAAAGATAGCCTACCTCAAGAAACAAGAACAATCTCAAACAAACAATCTAACCATCCACTTAAAGGAATTAGAAAAGAAGCAACAAAAGAAGCCCAGAGTAAATTGAAGGAAGGAAATAATAAAGGTCACAGTGGATATAAATGACATAGAAACTAAAAGAACAATACAAAAGATCAACGAAACCAAGAACTGGTTCTTTGACACAATAAAAAAGATTGACAGACCTTTAACCAGAGTGAAAATGAAAAAAAGAGGATGCAATAAATAAAATCAGAAATGAAAGAGGAGAAGTAACAATTACAAAAGATTATAGGAAAATAATATGAACAACTATATGCCAACAATTGAACAACAAATTGAAATGGATAAATTCCTAGGAAATACAGTCTTCCAAAATTGAATCAGGAGAATCAGAAAACCTGAATAGATTATTACAACTAATAAAATTGAAGCAGCAATGAAAAAACTCCCAACAAACAAAAGCCCTGGTAAAATTCATAGGTGAATTTTACCAAACATTTAAAGAAGAACTAACACCTATCCTTCTTTAAACTATTTAAAAAAATTCAAGAGGAGAGAAGACTTCCAAGCACTTTTTAAGAGACCCACATTATCCTAATTCTAAAACCAGATAAAGACACTACAAAGAAATAAAACTATAGACCAATATCCCTGATGAACATAGATGCTAAAAATCTCAACAAAATATTAGCAAACTAAATCCAGCAATACATTAAAGAGATCATGCACCATGATCCAGTAAGATTATTCCAGGATGATGGTTGGTACAATATTTGCAGATCAATAAATGTGATATACTACATAAACAAAATGAAGAATAAAAATCATGTGGTTATATCAATACATGCAGAAAAAAACATTTGATAAAACCCAGAACCCATTTATGATAAAAACTCTCAGCAATGTGGTAATAGAGGGATCATACCACAACATAATAAAGGCCACATATGACAAAACCATACCCAACATATTCAATGGGCAAAAACTAAAAGCATTTTCCTTCATATCAAGAACAAGACACGATGTCTGTTCTCACCACTCACATTCAACATAAGTTCTAGCCACAGGGATCATACAGGATGAAGAAATAAAAGGCATCCATCCAAATAGGATAGAAGAAAGTAAAACTTTTTACTTTCAATTGTTTGCAGATAACATGGTATTGTACATAGAAAACCCTAAACACTCCATCAAATAATTACTTGATATAATAAATGAATTTGGCAAAGTAGCAGGAAATCAGCCCGCATTCTTATACCCCAATAATGAACTCTCAGGAAGAGAAATTAGAAATAATCCCATTTACTGTTACAACAAAAAACATAATAACCTGTACTTTGAAAACTATAGTACATTGAAGAAAGAAATTGAGTGGAAGCATTTACTGTGTTCATGGATTGGAAAAATTAACATTATTAAAATGTCCATACTACCCAAAGCAATCTATAGAATCAACTAAATTCCTATTAAAATACCAATGGCATATTTTAAAGATCCAGAAAAAATATTCTAAAACTTTATATGGAACAAAGCAGACCCCAAAATAGCCTCGGAAATCTTGAGAAAGAACAAAGTTGGAGATATCACAATACTTGATATCAAACTATACTACAATGCCATTGTAATTTTTTAAAAAAGCCTTGTTCTGGTAAAGAACAGGCATATAGATCAATAGAACAAAACAGACGGCCCAGAAATCAATCCATGTCTCTTTGGTCAATTAATATTTGACAAAGGAGGCAAAAGCATAAGATGGAGTAAAGACAGTCTCTTCAATAAATGGTGTTGAGAAAATTAGACAGATACATGCAAAAAAAAAAATTTAAACTAGACCCCAACTTACACCATACACAAGAGTGAACTCAAATGGATAAAAGACTTAAATGTAAGGCACAAAACCAAAAAAATCCTAGAAGAAAATATAGGCAGTAAAATTTCAGATATGCCAAGGTTGTGGGTTTGATCCACAATGAATACATAAATAAGTAGAACAACAAATTGTTGTCTCTCTCTCTGTGTGTGTGTCACTCTCTCTCTCCCTACCTCTCTCTCTAAAAATTCAATAAAAATGTAATACAAATGGATGTAGAAATAAAAAGAAAATCAGATTTTAAAAATAAAATTTATGTAAACAGATAAAATAGAAATCTTTCACTTTGGAATATTTATATAAAACTAATAGTCAAAATACTTTCTTTTTATGTGAACATAAGTAATCATGTTTCAATAGCACTATTCCTGACAGACTGTTACTGAGTTTCCTTACATCCTCAAATAGTCACTGTATATGTTGCTATATGGTCCCCAGAGAATGGACCCTTAAACCACTCACTCTTCTAGAGATCGATCCAGGCCTCGGTCAGGAGATCGGTGGTGAGCACGTTCCGGTGAATGACATTTTATATTTGGCTTTATTGTAGAATTCAAATAATAAGCATTACTTGAGTAGTTCTGGCGGCGAAGTTCTTGCACAGCCCTCTCCCTAATGCAAAAATGTTTAAAACAGAACTTCTTAAACGTTATATCCAATGGCATTATTAATCCAGTAAAACTGAAGTTTAATTTACACTTTAAAACCTAGCCATCATGGAATAACCAGAATCTGTTGTTATCTAAGAAAGAATGCTCCCAGCCTAAATACTGGATAGAGACCAACTTACCTTTCAAAGCGCTCGGTCCCTAGCTGTCTTTTGGTGATGTCTAAATCAGCTTCCAGTTGCGTGACGACATTCCTGAACTGGGCCACATCTCTACTCTGGATGGCCCTGTGTAAAAGAATGTAAGAGAGTTGATTAGACTTTTAAAAGTCTAGAACTTCTGAACCATGTTGGCAATGTTCTCAGCTGGATCCAAGCCAAACTGTGATCTTTATGGACGTATATGCCAATTTTAGGTGTAGTAAATGTACAGGTAGCCTGGAAAAGCTTAAGGTGTGCCAATCACACTCAATTAGTTCAACTTTCTCTGTGTCAGTTTCCTTGTGTTTACATGGAGTAATATTATCTCTTATCTATCTCTATTATCTATTTATAGCACATTATTTTTATAGAAGTACTTTAAAGTATTGTACTCTTGAGTAATGGTATAACCAAATAATCAAAACTGGAATTCACTAGCACCATGATTCACATGGTCTGTTATATATTAGATCAACCAAGTGCTTTATGTACACTCAGAATTAAATCTGATATTCCCACACACACTCTCCTCCATTTAACAGGCTCTCCTTTAGGGCTAAGCCATGCCACAAACCCCCCGATAACGCGGCGCACTGTCATCAGGAAGATAACGATGGGAGACGAATGCTGCTTGTGCGGAGCGCTCTACCCTCTCTGCTTGTTCCCAGGACAGCACTCTAGAACACACAAGTTGATCGTGTTTACCAGGGTAAGGGACAGTACTGACCAGCCAGTCTAAAACAGAAGGTAGTCTTTAAGGGTTACCTTCTTAAGAGATTTCCACCTCTGGCTTGAGAAAGTGACCTGGCAGAACCGGTTAAAGGTAGCACAACAGCCCTGCGGCAGTGACCAAGAAGGACTCAGCAACAGCTGCCATAACCTGGAAACAGTTTCTGAAGGAACTGGCTTTGGCTTTGCAGGTTGAGCTCAGTCAGGGGCTCCTGTGAGTGGCTGATTCCTGAGACAATGATTCCTGACCCTCCCCAGGCCCCAAGCTCAGAAAGGAGGGCAGAGTTGAGGCTGGATGAAAAAGTGTTATAGAGGAGACAGGTAAGAACAGAGGCTGGGGGTCCCCATGCCTCTGTTTTTGGTGAGAGGTGACCAAGTTTACAATAGAATATTCATTCTCCAGGCAGGCATTTCCACCCTCCCTTCCAGCAGGGTCATGGAATAAGCTGCTAATGGTGCTGGGATGCTGAAAGAAGCAGCCACAATCATGCTCTAAGGCAGCAGTTCTCAACCTGTGTCGCAACCCCTTTGGCGGTCGAACGACCCTTTCACAGGGGTCGCCTAAGACCATCCTGCATATCAGATATTTACATTACGATTCATAACAGTAGCAACATTACAGTTATGAGGTAGCAACAAAAATAATTTTATGGTTGGGTCACAACATGAGGAACTGTATTTAAAGGGCCAGAAGGTTGAGAACCACTGCTCTAAGGGAAGTCTTCAGTATTCTGTGAATGCAGGAGTCCTTGCAGGTACCTAGTGTGTACAGTTATAGGTACACAAGCAAATACAGTGTGACAAATGGAAAGATTGGGGAGCAATACCAGGTGGGTTCATATATAAAAAAATTCTTCTGGTTTCAGAAGTGTATATTTTTCTAATCTGGTTATAATATTTCCTAAAGACAATATTTTAGACCAGACATCTTATTATACCCAAAGCTCTATTGGAAACAACCAACACAATGGTTGAACTTAAATTTAAATCAATTTAGCTAAACATATAATAGAAACTAGCACTAAATTTTTGGCAAATCACAATATTTCTGGTGCTCATTTTAATTAATGGCTAATTATGGATGCTTAAATTATATAAATTCCAGCTTTAAAATTCTACTAACCAATAAAGTATCAAAAATTTAAGGAATATGACTTTGTTATTATACTGCTAACAAACTCACATTTTATTTTCTGCCAAACACAGGTGTTCTTTAAGCAGCTGAATTTCAGATTCTTTTTCTTGAAGCGCTATCTGAGACTGATATTCTTTGTCCCGATTGGCCACCAGCAAAGCTTCTAGATTCTGCATGGAGATTCTCTCATTTGTCATCTGACTTCTGAGGAGTTCTATTTCAGAACGAGCAGAATCTAACTCATTCTCCATCTGTACAACAATAGGAAGATATCTATAAGTATTCCCATTCATTTACTCAACTGATAGATTATCAAAGAATCATAAAAATTCTGTATTATGTTATAAACTAACAACCCCCTTTAATTTCTTGATTAGAAATACTATCCTCCTTCTTACCAAATACACTCACACAGAATCACTTTCCCTAACTCTTTGCTAATATCATAAAATTCATTAATAACTAATGAATTATTAATTCCAAACTGCAAACAATTTCCATTTCCAGCTTTGATATTTACTTATATATTTCTGCAAGACCGACATGTGACTACTGCTTTTACTGTATGAGGCGAGTAACTACCTTATGAAATGTCATTGCACTCCATTGTTAAGGAAGACAAGGAGTCATTACACATGCCCTCTCTTGCATAAACCCTTGGAAACCTTCATTTTTTGAAGGTTATCTTGAACCTGAAATACACTGTGTAAGCCAATATTTCTCCAAATGGAAGAAGACCAGACATTACTATTTAGAAAAAAAATTATTTCTAAAATTATCTCATAATACACATTATAATAAATTATATGTGCATTTTATAAAGGTAAATGTGATAAGATAAAACTCTAAGAAAAAAGAATTCAATAAAAATGAGATTATTGCCCAGCCAGCATGGCTCAGTGATTGAGCATCTACCTATGAACCAGGAGGTTCTATTCCTGGTCAGGGCACATGCCCAGGTTGCAGGCTCGATCCCCAGTGGGGGGCATGCAGGAGGTAGCCGATCAATGAGTCTCTCTCATCATTGATGTTTCTCTCCCTCTCTCCCTCTTCCTTCCTCTCTGAAATCAATAAAAATATATCTTTAACAAATGAGATTATTGGAGGAGTGGTAGGCAGCTGGGGAAAGAACTTCCTAGACTAGATACAATTAAAAAATGATGCCTGACCAAACAAAAACAAATTGATGGTCAATATAAACTTAAAATTTGCCAGAAAAAAACTGAAAGGAAACAAACTCAGTAAATAAAATACAGAGTTAATATCTTAATATAAGGAACTCATACAAATTGATGAGAAATGTGAACAGAAAATTTATAAAATATAGCTATTTGGTAAACATGTGGAAAAATTTACTCTTATGAATAATCAAAGAAATACAAATTAAAACAAGATGCTATTTCAAGTTCGGGGTATCTTCACCTTGACAGTAGCGACCTTTTGGGTTGGATGAGTATGTGGCGTAGGGAGCTGCCTATGCCTCACAGCGTGCTTACAGCACCCCTGACCTCTACTAGAGGCCAGTGGCATCCACCACCCCAGCAGTGACAACCACAAGTGTCTCCAGACATTGCTGGATGTCCACTAGGGGGGACAAAAATCTCTTTCAGTTGAGCCACGGTTCCAGTTTAACAAATTGGTGAATTTCTAAGTGTGTGTTGATTAACATTAAAATGGGCAATTATAATTTCATACACTCTGCTGTCAGGAATACAAAATGGAGTGTCACTTTTTTTGGTAAAAGGTTTATTAGAATATAATTTACACTAGAGGCCCAGTGCACAAAATTCATGCACTCAGGGGAGGGGGGTCCCTCAGTCAGGCCTGAGCTCTTGCAATCCGGGACCCCTCGGGAGATGTCCACCTGCCAGCTTAGGCCCAATCCCCTCAGAGATCAGGCCTAAACTGGCAGGTGGACATCTCGCAGTCTGGGGCTTTCACAGTCCAGGACCCCTAGCTCCTTACTGCCTGTCTGCAACAGAGGTGGGAGAGGCTCCCGCCACTGCCTCTGCGCTTGCCAGCCATGAGCCCGGCTTCTGGCTGAGTGGCACTCCTCCTGTGGGAGTGCACTGACACCAGGGGGCAGCTCCTGCATTGAGCATCTGCCCCCTGGTGGTCAGTGCACAGCATAGTGACCAGTCATTTCGCCATTTGGTTGATTTGCATATTAGGGTTTTATTATATAGGATACCACAAAACTCACCCATTCCAAAGGCACAATTTAATTTTTTTAGTATATTAAAAGAGTTATGCAATACCACAATCTCATAATCTAGTGTTAGAATTTTTCATCATCTGCAAATAAATCCCAGTACCCATTAGAGATTCCCCTGCACCCACTGTCCACCACACCAGCATCTGCCTAAAGCAGTGATGCAGAACCTTTTGAGCTCGGCGTGTCAACATTTTGAAAAATCCTAATTTAACTCTGGTGCCGTGTCACATATGGAAATTTTTTGATATTTGCAACCATAGTAAAACAAAGATTTGTATTTTTGATATTTATTTTATATATTTAAATGCCATTTAACAAAGAAAAATCAAGCAAAAAAATGAGTTCGCGTGTCACCTCTGACACAAGTGTCATAGATTCGCCATCACTGGCCTAAAGCAATCCCTAATCTACCGTCTGCTTCTATGATCTGTCTTATTCTGGACATTTTGTGTAAATGGAATAATAAACATGAGTGTGGTCTATTGTGACTGGCTTCCTTCACTTAGCTTAATGTTTTCAAGAATCATCCATGATTTAGCAGCTATCAGTACTTCACTATTAAAAACATTTTTAAAAATATTTTTATTGTTGACAGTGTTACAGATGTCTCTTAATTTCTTCCCTCCTTTATGCCCCTCTTCCCAGTCCCTGCCCCACCCTAGGCCTTCACCACACTATTGTCTGTGTCTATTGGTTATGCATATCCTATATAATCCTATCTAATAAAAGAGAAACATGGTAATTAGCCATACGGCCGCTACCCTTCCCATTGGCTAATCAGGGAGATATGCAAATTAACTGCCAACCAAGATGGGGGCCGGCAGCTAGGCAGCTGACACGAACAGGGAGGCTTGCTTGCTTCAGTGAGGGAGGAAGCCAAGCTTCCCCGTCTGCCTTGCCCACCTCTCAGCTGCACTCTAAGCAACACTGTAACAAATATAGAAGCTAAACAAAACCGTGGGCTTCAGCCAGCAGGACCGCAACATTGTTTCAAATACAGAAGGTAAACAAAGGCCAGAAACCTGCTTTCAGCAGCAGAGGTCTCATAGCTGGAGCCGAGCCTCAGCGCTAAAGCTGGCCCAGAATTTAAAAAAAAGGAAAAAAGGACAGATTGGGAGCTTCAGTCACCCGCCAGTCTGAAAACGGCCCTCAGCCCCTCACCCAGGCTGGCCAGGCAGCCCAGTGGGGACCCCCACCCTAAAGGGGGTGTGACCAGATGCAAACAGCCATCATCCCCTCACCCAGGCTGGCCAGGCACCCAAGCGGGACCCCCACCCTGAAGGGGGTGTGACCAGATGCAAACAGCCATCATCCCCTCACCCAGGCTGGCCAGGCACCCAAGCGGGACCCCCACCCTGATCCAGGACACCCTTCAGGGCAAACCAGCTGGCCCCCACCCGTGCACCAGGCTTCTATCCTATATAGTAAAAGGGTAATATGCCTCCCAGCACCGGGATCAGCGGAGCAGCGAGGCCTCCCGGCACCGGGATCAGCGTGACAGGGGGCAGCGACCAAACCCCCTGATCGCCCTGCGGCTCTGTGTGTGACAGGGGGCAGGGCCACAACCTCCCTATCCGCCCTGCTCTGTTCCTGACAGGGGGGAGCTCCTCAACCCCCTGATCGGCCCTGCTCTGTGCCTGATAGGAGGGAGCTCCCCAACCCCCTGATTGCCCTGCGGCTCTGTGTGTGACAGGGTGCGGCGCCCAACCCCCTGATCGGCCCTGCTCTGTGGGTGACAGGGGGGAGCTCCCCAACCCCCTGATCCGCCCTGCTCTGTGTGTGACAGGGGGCGGTGCCCCAACTCCCCTGATCGGCCCTGCTCTGTGTGTGACAGGGGGCAGCGCCCCAACCCCCTGATGGGCCCTGCTCTGTGTGTGACAGGGGGGAGCTCCCCAACCCCCCTGATGGGCCCTGCTCTGTGAGTGACAGGGGGCAGCGCCCCAACCCCCTGATGGGCCCTGCTCTGTGTGTGACAGGGGGAGCTCCTCAACCCCTTGATCGGCCCTGCTCTGTGTGTGACAGGGTACGAAGCCCCAACCCCACTGATGGGCCCTGCTCTGTGAGTGACAGGGGGCAGCGCCCCAACCCCCTGATGGGCCCTGCTCTGTGCATGATAGGGGGTGGCGCCGCAACCTCCCTATCGACCCTGCCTTGAGTGTGACAGGGGGAGGTGCTCCAACCCCCCAATCGGCCCTACCCTGAGCGTGACTAGGGGTGGCATCGCAACCTCCCTATCCGCCCTGCTGTGTGCATGACAGGGAGCGGCGCCCCAACTCCCCAATCAGCCCTGCTCTGAGCCCGACCAGGGGCTGCACCTAGGGATTGGGCCTGCCCTCTGCCACCCAGGAGCAGGCCTAAGCCAGCAGGTCATTATCTCCTGAGTGGTCCCAGACTGCGAGAGGGCACAGGCCGGGCTGAGAGACCCCCTCTCCCCCCCGAGTGCACAAATTTTTGTGTATCGGGCCTCTAGTCCTATATAATAAAAGCCTAATATGCTAAGTGTCCGGTCATCCGTTCAACCAATCGAAGTGTAATATGCTAATGATATGCTAAGGCCGCTCAACTGCTTGCTATGACGTGCACTGACCACCAGGAGGCAGATGCTCTGATTGGTAGGTTAGCTTGCTGCTAGGGTCCAGCCAATCAGGACTGAGCGAGTTGGACTGGACACGCCCTGAAGCCCTCCCATGGTCCCTCCCTGGCTAGCCAACCTCCCATGTCCCTCTCCAGCCCCAATCATGCACCAGTGGGGTCCCTTGGCCTGGCCTGAGCCTTCTCACAATCCAGGACCCCTTAGGGCATGTCAGAGAGTGGGTTTTGGCCCAATCCCACAGGCCAGGCCGTGGGACCCCACTGGTGCACAAATTCGTGCACTGAGCCTCTAGTATGTATGTAAGTTCTTTGGTTAATCTCTTCCTGTCTCCCCCCACCCCCCCTTCCCTCTGAGATGTCAGTCTGTTCCATGTCTCAATACCTCTGGACCTATTTTGTTAGTCAGTCTATTATGTTCATTAGATTCCACTTATAAGTGAGATC